ATTTATTGATTTTATTTCTAACGTTACCTAAAGTTAAATTCTTCTACATTCTAACGTTAAATACTTTAATAAGTTTTTCATTAGATAACATAGTATAAAAAGGTTTTATTTTTTAGGTTACTCTTTATTGAGTTGTATACTATAACTTTAAAAATTTTCAATTAATATTTTAACAAACATTACATACTTCAAGTAGTGAGATTAAGGCAATTAATATTGCTTGAATTTACATAGATTGTTTATGATAGAATATTTTTTAAAGTGTGTGAAATGCCTTCAGAAATGATTAACAGGGAATATTGTACTATAATATAATCTTTAGTATGTTTCAGCTTTACAGATTTTTTTATTTTATTTTATTTTAATCATCGTCATCCTAAGGGTAGGAAACCCATCCTGCAGTCRTCAATGAAGACTAAAAGTAAGTATATTTTTCTATCAAACATTTCTATAATAACTTTAATGGTTTTTTATTACGACGATGACATTAATTGTTCTTTTTCTTTTTCTGTTTTAGAACATCATTGCAATCGAGCGCGTAGGCAATGAAATACTCGTGTGTTGCTTCGTTAAAAAAATATATAAAAAAGTCGGAAAGTAGAATCAGTGTTAATCGTCGTATTTGACAGTTTCGTTTGCTCGGTTATGAAACTCCGTAAGTTTCTTTCTTTAAACGTGTACCCATCGTCATCCTAAGGGTTGGAGACCCATCGTGCATTCATCGATGGAGATTCCAAGTGAGTATATTTTTGTATTCCATAATACCACAAACATTTTAATGGTTTTTAGTAATAGTAATGATATTAATAGTATTGTTTTTTATTTCTGTTTCAGATTGCAAATGTGCGCGAAGCAATAATATATGGGAGTGTTGTTATATCGTTAAAATTTAATTAAAATCACAGATTATAAAAGCATGTTCGTTCGTTAATTGTAATTCGTTTGTGTTACGCGATTGTATTAAAAATATTTCATATTAAATTGACTGCGACCAAAGCAGTAATTRYAKTAGAMWTTGTWCGAWHAAAGTTATRTTTTTATCTTTAAACAGTCGCACAGACTGTTCGCGTATTAGAGTCAGTGCATCAATGAAGATTTTGATACTTGCATTGACTGTGTGCAAAGCAGTCTTTGGAAGCAGTTGTAGAGTCAGTGAACGGGCGTAAAACAAATTCAAATCAAACGCGAATTAGATTCAGTGTTGCTCGCCGTATAATTAAATATCGGTTTCGCGATAAGAAACTTATCTATAGTTTCTTATTTTCGTTCATAACGCGTTATTAGATTCACGCGAGATGCAYMACCATGATGCCAYTGAGCTGCATCCCATTGGAATGCATTGTAAGTATTCATTTTTATTAACATTTTATTCGTTTTTGTTTGATACGATTTTGGATCATATTATAAATAACTTATCATTTTGTTCTATTTTATTTTACAGATATGACAACGGACTTTCTACCTTACCAAAGATGTGGGATGAATTCTTCGATAGATCATCGATGGATCTTCGATGGATCTTCGATGGATCTTCGATGGATCTTCAATAGCAAAGCAAGGAACTTTCTAATCGTTAGACTACAATACTTGCTGCAAAGTAGGAGTGTTTTGGAGCCATCGTAGAACTTCTTA